CCCCCCCCGCGGTGGCTTCCCGCTCACCCGGCTCGGCGGCAGCGCCCGGCGGATGCACGGCGCGTGGGTCGGCTGCCTGGCCCGGCCTCCTGCCTCGCCGGCCCGGGGTTGAGGGACTGGGTGGGGGCGATCTCCCCGTCTGCTCCCAACACCTGAGGAAACTGACAGAAAAGTTTGAGAACGAAAAGTCCAATCGTCTTTCAGCTTCCGCCCTCCCTCTGACACTCCAGCCACGGAAAGGAGCAGGAATTGCCCAAATCTCTGAAGCACCACGACTAGCTGCAAAGCCTGCCCACCGACCCTCTTTAGGCGATCGGGGCGCTCCTCTCCGCAGTGTACGCGCACTTTCCGGGTTCCACGAACCCTCTGGAATCCCCAGGACCTCTCTCTGTTTAGAAAAGCCCCTACTAAGGCCACGCCAGCCTTGCAAGCCTACGCCGAGCACCCCCTGCCCCCCAGTCTCTCCCTCTCGCTGTCTACACTGACTCTCTTAGTTTTAGCACCTCTCTGTCTACACATGCTGTCTCCACAGACCCCTAACTTCAACCCTAATAGGAAAGGTTTGGCTGCAGGCCCGCGACGGCCCCTAATGAGGGCTTCTGCTTTACGCCAGAACTTTTCATTTCAGCACCAGTCTTCCCTTCCCTGGTAACTCTCTAGATCTGGTTTTTATTCACCGACCTCTCCCTCCGTCCCCACATCCCTCCTCATCTGGTTTTGAATTTCATTGGAAGTATGTTACCCCCCCCCCACGTCCCCCACCCAAATGTAAAGGCTTGTGGGCTTCGACTCCCACCCGCACCCCCACCTCCTCCACTCTCCCTGGCAAGGCGGCCGAGGCCTGAGCCTGGGTGGAAGTCGGGGACAGGGGTGTGGTTAGGTAGGGAGCCGCTGGCTCTTCGGTTCTAACTGGGAGGAGTCGGCCTGGGGCGGGCTCTGCAGGCCCCGCCCCCATCGGCCAGGGCAAGCCCCTGGGCTTCGTGGGCAAGTCCCTTTCTCTCTGCTCACTCCTGTGATGTCTGAATCCAGGCCTCTGCTCTCCTTGGCTGTAAACTCAGTGCAGGGATTGTGTCTTTTTTAATATCTTGTAGGAAGCAGAGTACAGTGTAGTGGCTGATAAATAATAAATAATAATAATCTACTGAGGGTGGCAGGAGGACTGAAAGGGAACGAAGACACCAGGGAAATGGCCCATTGGTATTAGAGTAACTGCATTTCCTGAAAAAAAAAGAAAAAAATCGAATGAAGTTTTGGTGTGTGAAGCCTGGGGACAGAGGAGGGGACAGAGCAAAGCACTGCAGAGAGGAATCCACCCTTGATGATGGAGTCAGCCAGGAAAAGTGGTGTGTCATTAAGAGAGGGTGACAGAGGCTGCCTCGAAGGGGGAGCAGCGTGGAGGGGGGAGAGGGGGGGAGTTCACCAGTGTCCTGGAACGCCTGAAGGGGAACAACAGATGTGGTTTGAATGCTAAATTCTTAAAATGGTGCATGAAAAGTGATTGAAGAGCAATGTAGATAGGAAAACGGAGAAAGGGAGACTACTGGGGATTTTCAAAATTACAAAGGTAAGATCTCAAGTAACTCAAGGTAGAGAGAAGGGCAAGACCCAGTGAGTCAGTGTTCCTTTATGTCCCCTGAAATGACCTGCATGAATTCACCACCTGTGGGAAAGCAGGACCCCACCGGCTATGCTCTGGAGCAGCACATTGGACAGCTGGAGGCACTATGGGAACGTGGCTACGGTTTGCAGGGGCTGGGCTAGGTTACCGTCCGGCAATTTGTATCACTCACAATGTCTTACAGATCATTTTGAGTGATCCTCAAGTGAAAGAAGAAACTATGCATCCAAGAATCTTTCCTTGGCTGCATTTCTAAGTGCAGGTGTGAGGATTCTCCCAGTTTCCCTGTTGGCTGTTATCGGAGAAGGGAGACTGTGCAGAACCTGCATCCACACAGAGGGGGGACCTCCTTTTGACTCGGTGATGCCAAGGGTGCCAGTCCAGGCATGCTGCAACGCCTCTAGGGCTGGAGCTTGACAACAGCTCACCAAGGGTGACGGCTCATCAGGAGAATGAGAAAAGCTGTGTGAATTAGACTCACAACAGGCATTTCTACCCTCTCCTCACCCCACCCTTCTTTCATCCCCAGAGACTGAATGCAAATAGGAATTTCCAGAGTCTGAAGCCAAGATCAGCCTTCCTCTGCAGTGAGGCTCTGCCTAGCTGGGGACTGTTGGGCTTGGACACTGCTGCTTAGGAAGGGTTGCTCTGGTCTAGACATGAGCACCGTTTCATCTGGAGTGCTGTCGTTCATGTCATCTGCCCCCATTCCCCCAGGGTCTTGGCGACATAAGCTGGATGCGCTATGTGTTGTGGAAGGGACCGCCTCTCTTTCTGCATAGACCTTGCTGGGGTCTAGGATCTGTTCTATTTACTGCCTGCTCTGTGGTATATGAGATCTGGTCCACGCTTGACACCAATCTCTCTGCATGGTACATGGGATTTGTTGGGTGTTGCACATGGGAACTTTTTTGGCCCTGGTCCAAGATTTCCCCACAAAGCACAGGATCAACTAGCTCTGTGGAGTGTGCTTCAAAAGCTAGCTCCCCACGTCCTGAGAGAGATGCCCCCCTAAGATGGGCTCTGGATCAGAGCTAATTTATATGTTCCAAGCAGATGGGCTGTGAAGGAGTGGACCCACAATGCACAGGGCAGTAGATTGAAATGCCCCAGAACCTCCTGTCCCTACTCAGAGCATAGACTCTTATGTGTGCAGTCAGTCAAAGGCTTTGTGCTAGAAGGCCACAACTGTCACCTAGAGAGGCACCAAAGGAAGCCACATCAGGACTGCCTGGGAGTGCTACATAGGCCCATTGTGGCAGAGATGGACTTCTCTCCTTATTTGTATTTGTAATAAGAACCACAATATAACAATCATCTAGTCAGTGGTTACTCCATGCCAAGCATTGTACCAGGTATTCTAACCGTGACATCTTGTTAAGCATTACAGCAATTTGTGGAATTAGTATTATCAGCCCCAAAGAGGCACAGAGAGGGTAGGTGATCTCCTGCAGTCACATAGCCAGTAAGTGGCAGAGCTGGAATTTGAGCCTGGTTGGTTCCAAGGCCTCTGTTCTTTTCACCACACTCAGTGCACAAATGCAACTTCTTTGGTCATTAACTCAGTGCATTTCCCTTCAAGTAGACATAGTCTTTGCTGATGTTGCCTTTTTTTAGCAGCCAGGCCTGGACCCAGAACTGGAAATCAGTCCTAGGATAGAGGACTGATGTTAGAAAAAGGAAAAGCATTTCTTTGATTACTGACCGCATAGGTCACTTGGAAGCGTGGACATCTCATCAGAAACCCTCAGGTCTGAGAGGACGTCTGTTTCCAAGAGTACAGTGGGTGTACACAGAGAGGAGCCAGCCTCTCCGCTGGTTGGGGTTTTGTGTTTGCTGCTTTGTCTTTCTAACATTATGCTCCACTAAAACCACCCCCATTTGGCATCAAAAACATTAATAAATCCGACATAAGTCATTGTCCCTCCAGTGGTTAATCAATCCATAAAAATCTATTTAGCACCTACTGTGTGCCCAGCCTTTCAACCCCATGGTATTGATTAAACCAGGAAGTGAGAAGTCACAGCTGCTGAATCTCCACGGTGGCCACCCTGCTCTGTGATGTGTCACAAAGGCACATCCTAATCATTCGATCGCCATTTGCTGAGAACCTCCTGCGTGCTCAGCGCTGTGCTGGGTGCTCTCAGGAATACCAGGTGGCTTACACTCTGCTCATTTTCACCTGCCTGTCCTCCAAAAGGGATTGAGGCACCTGAATGCAGTACTTGGTTCTTGTTCTTGACAGAGGTTAAGGTAACAGAGGTTGTTATGAAGAAATGACACTGTGCTGAGTTGTGCGGGGGTCCAGGGGTTGATCTGTAAAGGCTGGGCTGGTCAGGATACCTTCCTGGAAGAGGCAGGTCTCAGGCTGGACCTGAGGAGTGAGGAGGTTTCCACGGGAGGCAGAGGAGCTCAGACCAGCCAGAGAGGAAGCAGGGGTCTCCTAGGAGGGCAAAGGAGGTAAGTCCCTGGATTGGGGGGTGCTTCATAGTATCATACTTTCTGAAACACAGCTCATTAACAGTCATTTACTTAGGGTGAAAATAAAATTGTAATTACATCCTTTGCCCAAATCAGTGAACTGTTAGATTCTAAGATTCAGAATAAAACCAGTGGTGTCTGTGTTGGCATTCTCAATGGTAAGAATTCAGAACCTGCCCCCACTCTCCACCCCAGTACCTCTTGTTTGCAGTGGTGGAACTGCTAATGAGACAGAGCCAGTAGCAATTTTCCCTGGGTGGTTCTGACAGGAAACACTGCTTGGGTGTTTTAAGAGAGCAGCCTCTACTCTCCCCATTGATAAGGTGATTTTTTTATCCACCCTGGTTGAAGAAATGGATTTAAT